ACCCATTAGAGCACTGGAAATTTATTATGACTGGGATAAAATTGATGTTAATAAGTTGGTGTTTAGAGGCACATTTAAAAACTTGGGTGCTTCACATCTACCTTTGTAACATTTATAATAATATTTGACACTGGTTTCACAACTTAATCTTACAATAATAATGAGAACAAAATTTCTATATATATTGAATTCTATAACAAAAACCAAATTTAGGTAAATTTACAAAATTTCAAAACAATTTCGTTAAGTCAAAAATTAAAATTTGACTGGTGCTATGCGCACATATATAATATTAAATGATTATAATATATCATGGCATGATGTATGTGTTTACTTATCACCATTACAATGCCTCCAAACAAAGTACTAAAATCTATATAATCGTTTCTTACCATTCTCTCCTCATATTTGTATAAATACCACAAAAATGTATATGATCCAATTATATTCTGTGCGCACATACGTGAGTACATATAATATTACTTAAGTTTATTTATCAATCTGGTACACAAATATCCATATCAGATGCAGCATGTCCATTTTCAGGCTAACTCTTGCACCATAACAGTTAATTATAATATAACTACCTCTTAATTTAATGGTGTAAGTGGGTATACCCTTAACCTGTGGGGCAGTGAGTTTAGACCTATCTTCTGTTATAGACAGTCAGTCTTAAATCAAAAACATTCGCATACAGGCCCTTCTAAGAGTTCCAGCCATTGTCGCTGGTATCTTCAAACACAAGAAAAAATTATAATAAAATCAATATTTCTTCTATGCTTTAATATTAATTGAATACAAACCTGTAGGTCTATTGTGAACTGGTTTAGGTCCCCATAAACGAACTGTGCAGTCATCTGAAGCAGAAGCTAACATATTAGGATACACCGGGTTCCATGAAACACAATTAACAGTTCTTGAATGTCCAGTCAATGTTGCTATTGGTGCTTCATGATTGATATGCCATATATATACCTATTAACATAAAAAATATATTGTGATAAAGTTCTTTTTAAAAGAATATATAAATAACATACCTTTGTATCTTCACTACCACTGGCTACAAAGTCATTATTAACGCCACCGAAACATGAGTGAATTGTGAAATGACCTTGACTTAAGCCATGAAATTTCCTAATAAGACATTTATCTTCTAAATCCCACAGATGTACACCTTGAGTGGCAACATTCAGCAATGCCAATCGATCGGTAGGATCAATTGTAAATGCCATTACAGGGTGTTCCTCTTGTATACTGTACATAAAACACATTCAAGCAATAATTAATGGAACAATACTACCAATTGCAAATTCAATTTATTTAAAAAATATGCAAACAATGTGTATGTTTAAAATATCTAGTACTTACATATTAGAATCAACAAGATCTTCAAATACATAAGAACGTACTCTTCTGTGGGTATCGGCGGCTAATACCGTTTTACCATCAGATCGACAAGCCAGAGCATTAATTCTTATACCTTCCCAATTATCAACTATGCCACCCTAGTCATAAAAATATGTACATGAATATTTTCTGAATAACTGTTTAACAATTTTTTAAAACAAATATTTATGTATTCTAGTAACAATGTATAAACTACTTACGTCTAAGTCACATTTATAAAATTGGCCACGGATGCCACCAGTAACAAATTTAGTACTATCCTTATGCCATGCAGCTGATGTAAGACTGTCATCATTTGAGTGAGTCATTTTAACTCGAAGCTCATCCGTCTGAAAAATAGAAAACGATTCATAAAAATAATGTTATTTTTTATTCTTATTTATCAATTTTAATCTTTATAAGTTTGTATAGGTGCACATACTTCCATATTCCAGAGCCACAGTTCAGGACAGTCTTCTGGACCAACTGCTATTAAATATTTTGAATCAGGACTCCAGGATAGAAATGAAACACCATAAGAATGTCCCTCCAATGTTCTTCTATGTGTTAATTGACAGCGAATCGGATCAACATTCCAAATAATAACCGTAGTGTCTTTGGAGCCAGTGGCTAACTTTAAACCATCTGGAGAAAACTTGCAGAACCATACCTGAAAAAAACAAGATATTTTTTATTTATTTATATTATAAGCCACATGACAATAATATTATAATTTGATTCTATTAAAATTTGTTCTTATAGTGTAATTGTCAAAAATTTAAGAATATTTATTATTTGATATTTAAGAATATTAATATTTATCACTTATTGCTTACCTCATCACAATGGTCTGCAATTGTTTGGACATGGTGCATTGGAAAATTATTTGTGGGACATACGTGGTCAATTAGTAATGAAACAGTCTCCATTGTGCTTTCCCTTGATGTATTATGGTAACTACAAAGTTTCGCTTGCATATCAATTGCTTGGGACAAAAGGGTTTGCAATCTTCGGGGTGGAAGCATGATAGTTGGAGGTAAAAATGCCTGTAGACGTTCCATAAGACGTGTGCGTGATTTACTGCCTTTACCTTCCCTGCAAAAATTATCAAAAAATATCAAAGTTTGTGACCTTATAAGATGATCTTCACATACTATTATTACATTAAATACAACATTTAAGATAAGATTACTAATATTTGTTGTATATGTTGGTTATCTAACATACTTGACTTTTTTAATTTAAGATACAAACAAAGTTCATATTTAAATCTATAAAAGCATAAGGCTTTTCCAATTTTAATTGAAGATATTATTTACAAAATATAATGAATCAAAAGCAATTACAATCAAATATGATAGATTTGTTTATTTCTCACCAAGAAGCCCTTTGATATAACTCTGCAGAATCAGCACACATCATATAAGAAGAGAGCTGATGAACTCGAGGCGTATTATGTTGTAATGGAGTTAATTCATTTCGTAGTACATGTAATGCATCTAGTGGACGTCCATCTTCTAAGTGTTCTAAATATTTTTGTTCCAATAACAAAAACTTCATTTCCTATTATAATAACTATATGTGTTATCTTATCTTAAAAATTTCAATTATTTAAAGTATTTTATTTACCACTAAATTATGTTTTGTTCCAGGTTCATTTTCTAATAATGTTTGCAGTTCCTTCAAGTCATGATCAGCTTTAGACCAGTCACCTTGCATGACATGTTGTCTAAACATGGATGCAGCAGGATGCTCCAAGCGACATCCTGATTCTTGCATCAATACATCTGCACTATGTCTATATTACATACAGCATATTATATTATATATATATATATATATATATATATATATATACATATATATATATTAGAAGGTAGAGTCTTGGATTTGTAAATATATTGTAGAGCTTCGAACGAAGAATCCAAAAAGTAATAAAAAACAAAAAAGTTTTTTAAAAAAACATTTCTTTATTTATTTACTGTCGACGTTTCAGAACTAGGTACATTTCATCTTCAGGACATCTGTCAAGAAACATGATCTTGATAAGATTTAAGCAAACAATATGTTCAAGAAAAACAGAAGATGATAAGATGAATCATGTAACAGGTTGTGATCCGATCTAATGTTAACACATTAGAAGAAAGTATGAGACAACTTTCCGCAAATAACCTCTTAAAGATGCAATTTTCATAATATAAAATTTTAGAAATGATATTAAATGAGTGGGCCTTTTCGACAGAGTGTTGTACCATGGTACTATTGAAATTTTTTTGTTTATGGTGAACCACGCTTAATTCATGTTGCCTCATTCTTTTGTGTACGTATTGTGAGGTTTGTCCAATGTATTGGAAAGAACAGTCGTTGCAAAAAACAGAATTTTGGATTCTTTAATCGAAGCTTTGCAAAAATTTGCCATATGTACACACACACATAAACATATACATATATAAGATTTAGACTTTTTGTTCGACATTGAAACATATATATATATATATAATATATATGTTTGTATGTGTGTGTACATATAGAAATTTTTTACACAGCTTTAAAAACTCGGATCAATATAAATGTACAACAACAAATATAAAAACAACTTACGAATAAATGTTAGCCATTGTTCATAATCAATAAAAATAAATCAGTATCTTCTTTTGTTTTGAATAATAAATCCAAAGTTCATCTGTCTTTTGTTTTAATCAACTGAATTATAAATAGCAATATATGGTATCAATAAGCGACTCTAAATACAATATGTTTTGTGCAAAAAAATGATTTACAATAAAGTGATAATATGGATGACTTTTAAAACAATACAATGAAATTTTTATTCTGTAATATATTTTTAATGCGATACTTGCAGATAAAATAAGGTTCTCTGTACAATCTGCTCAATTAATTAGAATTGAAATATTGATTTATTTTAATTAAAAAAAAATCAAATAAAAATTCTTACTCAAGTCCAACTGATCTGAGATGTTGTCCAATTATGCGAACAATATCCTGGTTGACTTTATCCATGGGTATACGAGGGACTTCTTTCGGTGCATCGGTCTCAGCCGTGTGTCCATTGCCATTGGCCTCAGGGGCGGATGAACCAGCCCCATTTAACTGCAAGCCATTGGTACCTTGCTGCATTTCCAAAGAAGTTTCAGACAATGGACAAGACTTGCGACACCTCTTTCGTGGCGGCTGGTGCCCCGCACCGTCGTCCCCCGAGGAGTCAGTGGAGGCCAGGCTTGTTTCTAAAGACCGCCGTTGTTATTTTCTTATAAATAATTAGGTTATTTAAATCACACAAATTATTACACTATCATTCTAAAGTATAGAATTGCCATTTACGCAAGACAGCTGAGCGATATGACGTCACAATGAAGAACACACACACTGTAAATATTGTAATTTCAATTTCAGAGTTTTTTGAGAGTAATATTTTGAGGAGAATTAATATGAAAATATAGTGTTATTTGCACAATGTAATATATTTTATAGAGTATTTATTTTAATACGTTCATATGGCATCATGGCGAAGCAACAACATTGTATTATTTTTCATAGAACTGCTGTAGAGATTCCGAGGCCAAACTTCTCCATATACAAAAACTATCATTATAATGAATGCTACAAACAATTTGAATGAAGCAAGTTCTCATACAGCGACTTTGTAAATGTTTTTATAATAAACTTTGACTGAATTAGAATAATAAAATATTCTAATGTAAATTTAAATTGAAAAATTGTTTCTTGTAAAACAAAATATACACATAATAGAAAATTTATTCTATTAATAGCACAAGAAAAATAGTCTCCGCAACACTTAACACTGACGCTGACAGAAATTGTTCTGAAGTACTAATTACCTTCGACGATATTAATACAAAAACGTAAAATATACGTTATATATTGAAATAAACAACATGAGTCACATCTCAATATAAATCATTTTAAATTCCAATTTTGCTTCCATTTTCTATAAAATATTGAATAAAATTACTTAACCTTTTCATAAGAAAATTGCGTACTTCGAAGGTCTGTGATATTGGTCCAGAAGTTAAGAAGCTCTGAGGAAATTTCGATTCCGAAAGAATAACAATAACGCTGCCTTAATATGTATATTTTCTTTGCCATTTATTTTCTATTTAAATTTATTTGTGAAAAATAAACTTATCATATCACTTGTTTCCAGTGAAAGTTGACAGGGAACGGCAAGCTATATGCATCGATGAAGAAATAGAGGATGTTGCATTAGAAGATCTACAGGTACTTTACCCGGACATCAGCCGAGATATGTCATTTACAGTTACTGCATGGAGCATAAAGATGGCAGACTTTCCTATCCGATGTGTTTCATTTATTATACTCCAAGAGATAGTCAGGTTTTGTACATACTATAAAGACTACCATCAAAAAGCAGACTTTCATCTGAAATCCATTGCTATTATATTCTTTGATGAAATTGAGAACAAATCAAAGCACTGTTCATATTATCAACTCATTTCATTTTAACATTTACTCAAATGCTTGTTATACATGTATACAGCTATATGTTTTAAGAAGTCATAGATTGCTGCAATGCATTTGTCAAATCTATTACTTTTCCTCTCTTTTTGTTTTATAAATATTGATATATATCATTTTTAAACACAGCCACTAATATCTATGGATTGTTTATTCTTTTGTTTCACTATCTTAAATGAAGGAGCTTTTTGCCCATATACTGTAAGCTTATATATAAATATCTATATTTATATATATTATTTATAATGGAACTGCAGATTATGTATGCTGGCACAAAATTGGCGCTTCAGCATGAAGTAGAATTAACTCGTTCATATGAGGTACGTGAGCTAGATGAATTAACAGAAGATTGGTTACGTGAAAAATTATCTAAATGATTATTTAAATTATTTAGATAAATTGCATTTATACAGTACCCCAAAAGTATTTGGTGGATTTGACCAGTACAGTAACTGTATGGTATAAAAATATTTTAATTATCTTATTTAGAATTGATGTTAATTACAAATACGTAATTTGTAATGCTTTATATGTCTATATACACAAAATATATTACCTCATATATGCTATTATATTAGCATAAATTTTAATATACATGAAAACTTAACTTTTTATAACTGATAAAAAAAGCCATTCCATATATAACCTATACTGCCATCTTTTTATATGAATTTAGGAGAAGTTATAATTAGAAACTTGATAATTTTTTTAAATACATACATATTATATATATATATATATATATATATATATTAACAATAGTCTGCACAATTGATATTTAACTTTTAGGTCCATAAATTATGCTAAATATTTCTGACATAACTTGTATTTACATAAAAATTATAAATCTAATATATTGTTTACTTAGTTCAAATTTAACAAATTTTTGTAATATGAACTTCCGAATTTGAAGATCTTATTCGGCAGATTGTCTTTAAATATTATTTGTAATAAGGGCCACATAATGTATTCAATTAATAATGAACAACAATAAATAAATATAAATTAATGAATTAATTATTTAACATACAATGTTAGTGCAAAATATACATACAAGTCATAAAATTCCAAACTTATATACAATTAAGTTAATACAAACCAAGAAAAATGTTGATCTTTATACTAATATATTATACACCACCTATTATAACTTAAAAAATATGACTATACAACATTTATCTTACAAAATATGATAGGTATCTACAATGAATACATTTATTTTGTAACATGACATTTTTTGTGACTTTGAATATAAATAATTTAAAATTTCTTTGGAAATTGTCTTAGGCTTGTATCAATGAGATTATCATTCTGAAAATAAAACTAATTAGAAAGAACATCAATATTTTATAATACATATTTCTAGCTTTATACATACCCATAAAGGTAATAGAAAAATGATAATAAATATACTGCTAATTTGACCCAACCTTCTCGTTGGCATCGATTTAACATGTCTGCATTCATAATAGATGTCGGATCATATAGACCAGGCCCCGACATTACTGGCCTTGTGTGGTACCTTAGATTTAACAAAGTTTTTGATAGAATTTTTCACATTAAATAATATGTTTAACAAAGAACGAAATATACCTGTACACATGGTAAGCTATGAGTGGGACATTGAGACATAACGAGAACCACTCCCCAGCAAATAAGAATAGTATATTGAAAAATACATGCATTAAATATTCTGGTAGCACAAGCTAAAATATATAAATTGTAATTATTTTCCAAGTAACACTTGAGATCAGAATGTTCTATTTTTTAAATCACTCACTGGATTTAAACTATTACATTGGTCTATAGGATTTTTATAATCTGTTTTTAATTCATCAAATGCAATTACATGAAATATAGAAAAGAATATAAGAAATGCGTCTACTATTAATGCTATGATATAGCTGAAGGCTGGAAAGCTGAACGCCATTTTTAAATATGTACATAAACACTAAAATTTTTGTTATTATTAATATTGATAAAATACTATTGGCAATATAACCTTTAATTGGAACAATAAAGTGCTTTTAATGATTACATTTGTCAACTTAAAATGTATGAATAATGCTTCGCTGGCTCCATCTATTTAGAGCATTACGACTTAAATCTATAACATAGCCCTCTAGTAGCAATTTGCTTAGCTATCTTAGCAAGAATTCGCATGAAGTCATGTTCTAAACCCAGGGTGGGCAACCTGCAGCCCGCGGGCTGTATATGGCCCATTAAATATTTTTTGGGGCCCGCCAAACATTTATAAAATAGAATTTTATCAACATTCTCTCATCTAAAAATTAATTATAAAGCATTCTTTCATTGCTGCATTAATTCATGAAATATTTAATTTCTTTAAATTTTACATTTTTATATTATAATGTGATTATAATATTTATAAAAAAAATTAAATCCAGGTAAAATAACAAGGGCGACTTGCCACAAATGATTAAAATTTAAATGCGGCCAGTCAGTTGAAAACATTGCTCATCCTTGTTCAAAAACTGACCTTTAAAAACAATTCTGTAAGTGGCATTTTACTTGAGGGGACTGGCATAAACTTTCCAATATGTGTAAAAATCGAGCTAAACTGAAAAAATTGAGAATTAGCTATTTATTTAGATAAAAATTTAGATCTTTCGAACATAAAATTTTCAATTGTACTAAAAACTAATTATTGCGGTTTCCAATTGATATGTTTAGAATAAACTATAATAATATCTATAATTGTATTAATCAAATTCAATTTATTTAATACCTTTCTAGGTGTATGTTTTAAGAGCGTAGGTCATTAAAATCACCAAAATGATGTTTTTTTTTTAACAATTAATTACGAAGAAACGGCTTGGCTAATATTTAACAAAAACTAATCAGCACGATTCTCAAGTGATATCTTTCGAACAGTTTTTGAATTTTAAACATTGGTTCAGAATTTGTACAAAAGTGTTTTTTTTTTAATTTGCACTATACGTTGCACTCACTTGACTAAATTACAATTACATATCAATTATGTAATCTCATCGCTAATCAGTTTATTTTTAAAACTTTTAAATTTTTAAGTCAGTGCTGCCGTTTTCAAGAAAATCAATAATTTTTATAATTATACCAGTTTCCGTAGGACTTTAATGGTTTAGTATGTTCATTAAGACCAAGTACTCTATCATTATAGCAAGTAAATTGTATAATTTTGATTTTAACTGACTTAAAAAAAAACTACATCAATTTTGATGAATTTTTAAAATATTTTTAAGGGTCAAATTTTGGGTCACATACGTACGTTTCTCGTGCTTGGTCTCAAATGGTTTAGAATGACTTGTAACGCTGATGTAACGAAAAAATGAATATATTGGATTTTTTAGCAAAAACTTTCCCTCAAGAAGATTTACAAAAATAGAAAGAAAAGATTGCTAGTAATTTATTTAATTTTGCATAATAATAATAATAATAATAATAATGAATGATAGCCTGAAGGTAGAGTAAAGCACCATATATAGGTAGAGTAAAGGTAAAGGTAGAGCACCAGATATAGGTAGAGTACCAGATATAGCACCAGATATAGGTAGAGTAAAGGTAAAGGTAGAGCACCAGTTATAGGTAGAGTAAAGGTAAAGGTAGAGCACCAGATATAGGTAGAGTAAAGGTAAAGGTAGAGCACCTTCATGATGTAAGAGCACCACAAAACAATGAATTCCTTTTCCTCCCTGGTTTAGTATTCCCGTTACAATTTCATCACCATTATTCACATTTTTATTCACTTTTATTCATTTTTCTTACCAAACTTTAGCTTCAATGCTTTCTGGTCCTGCGCTTCGGCTTTCAGTTCCCAGTATTTCACTTCTGGCGTAAGTTATCAATCATCTGCATAGTTCTTCTTCCCAATCCTTTTAGTCCTTCTATTTTACCTTCGACGAAGTCGTGTAGAAGGCACATCTTTTGACATCGATCTATAGTTTCCTTCATTTTTGCATTTAGTATTGAAATTTTAAATTTATAAGGAACATTTTAAACATTTTTTGCCTAAAGTACTAATTATAATAAGTATCTGAATCTAAGAAATATATGATAAAATCAAATCTCATTTATCCCATGTAAACAAAACAGTTACATTACACTCCTTCACACTTGCTCCAAGTTCGTACAAAGTTAGCAAATGATTGATAATTCAGGTCTCGTAGTTCTATTACTAGCAGTGATATTAATCTCATTGTCTCTAAGCGTTAAATTTGATACGACCCTCCCAAGTCTTCTAGTTCAGTACGCCACGTTAGGTGAACAAGCGTAAGGACGGCATAATAAATAGACGCAGGACCCATGATCAGATTATCTACCAATTATTGATAATAGGGAAGGGTGACCTGGCTGACGACTGACGAGGCACCATTATCAGTCTTATTATTCTATACTAATTCACAATCACATAAATAGAACTCGATCTTACAAATGCGATTCAGATACGAATAAGTTTCGATGGGTATTTGTTATTTTTATTATTTAGTTATTTATTTTATTACATATCACGCATAGTTTCTCTAGAAAGACTTAAAATGCAATTATAATAAATATTACTGCGTTAATTAGTTTGAAGCGATGGTTCGTCCAGAAGTTTTTTTTAGCCAAAAATTCTTAAAGAATTTTGTAAACTTAAAAACTGTTTTTAAAATATCAGTTAGGAATTATGCTTAGGAGGCGTCCATTAATCACGTGATCCAATTTTAGCAATTTTTGGACCCCGTGGTGCTATTTAAAATTACCCTTCCTTTCCTACTTAGCACCACGAGTGTTTTTAGTACCTAAAAAAACATTAAATTATTTAGAATTTTTTTAATACACTCTCCTCACTCACCTAGTATTTTGTGTTTTTTTCTCGAACCCCTTCCTATCATTTTTAGCCTCACGTAATTAATGGATAGCCCCTTGTTAGATATTGGTAAAGATTGAACCATTTTTTCGTGTCTCGTTAAAATTTTAATGAAACCCTTTGAAAGAATAGAGTCCACGGTCTTATTAAATATCCTAAAATATTACAGGCCTACGAAAAGTGGTTTGATTATAAAAATTCATTGAAGTTTGGAATAATGCGCCGTGCTTTGGAGCAAACACCTAGTACTAGTATGTTCTAAGAAAGGGTTTGTGACTATTATTATTACAATTACAGATATGTTTGTTTAAAATATTTCAATTTAAAATCGCATTTATTAGATTTAGTATAAACGTGAGCTTTATTTACAAAATAAGCAGTTAAAAATTCTATATTTATAGCTAATCACAAATCCTAATGTAAGTCACATATTGACACAATTTGGGTGGTTTTAAAAACCGGCCTTAAGGCAAAATGCCGTCTACATCTAGTTTTCTAGAAGCATATTCTCCGACAAGTGTGCTTAGTTAACTACTCGCTTATAAAAATATAAGACAGTATGAATAAATTAAGTTAATTAAGAAAAAAAATCATATTGGCTTCAAATGTATCTAACTTAGCAGTTTATGTCATCTTGAAATTTTAGATAAATTTAATGCTAACTTATGGGCCGATTCTCGGTTTCAATTTTACGACAAGTTCACACTTATTTCGTTTAAAATGTCATTATAAGTGTAACAGTTATTCTCGGCGGTATGTGTTTTATCATTGAAACATTAATGTTACGCTATCCACTGAAATAAAAGTGTCGAAAACACCAATTATGATCACATTGGCGAGAAGTTATATGAACAGATTGAATTTGCTATTTTGGAAATTATGCGTTTTAACATCTTTTTTGAGGTTATGTTAGCACCGATGTAGAGATAGATTATACCGATTTCGCTTGAGTACAAACAAGAGACAGCCAACATCAAAAAACACAAAACACTGTCGCTCATGCTACGCATGACACGATTCATTCCGCATCAAAATAGGTATCGCCGAGAATAACAAATCTCAACATATACTTACGCGAGGCATGTTATGCTACCACGCAATTGCGATAACAGAGCGTAGCCATGTTAAGGCAGAATCGGTCAATTAGATACATTAAAAGCCTAAGTGATCTTATCTTTTCTTAAGATAGATCTATACTTGACAAATTGTCAAGTAAAATAAATTAAAAGGAAAATGAGTGAAATGGCGGTTTTAGCAATTTGAGAATATAAGATATAAATATAATAATATTATTTGATGTACAAGTCAGATACAAATAAAATAATGGTAATTGGACGTTGGCACAAAAGCATCAACTAATATATCACATAACCAAAAGCATTTCTTGTAAAAAACTATTAGTCTATTCACGATATTCACGATATGAAATGTTGTGACGTATTTTATAAGATTCGAATTGCTTCAAACTTAAAATCATAAATCAAGCATAAAAATCAGGTTTTTATTTAAAAAGATCTTTTTATATACAACTACCAAAGTGTTCTTCATACCCACTAATCCAAAAAGTAATACAGATTCGAGCGTTTAAATTTTCTTACCATATTCATCACCACCCAGTCCTCTCGATATAGTGGTAAAGCACCCCGTAGAGAGCGTAGGTCTACGTTTTCAGTCGCTTCACGAAAGCCGTAGCGCGCGGTTCTAACGCAAAGCGTAGTCGCTATTTCGGCGCGCGTAATTCGAAACTTATAAAAGACGATGAAATTCAAAACCAGACTGTGATTATTTAAAATTAATTGGAAAGATAATTAAAACTTTGGTGAAATTAATAATAAACTGAGTGAAGAATTTATCACATTTTTTTGGATTAACAAAAACTAATATGAATAATAATTGAATTAAATATTAATAACATTACCATAGATGTACAATTATAGTTATATAATAGTGGATTTAATATAATTTTTAATTTAACAAGATTTTTAGTGAATAATATTAAAGTAAAAATGCATATGTTTTATAACAAGTTGAAGAACATGGAATGTGCATGTATAAAGTTACAAACATCAGTTACAATTTGGTATTA